AAAATTGTTCTTCATATGTTAATCAAAAATGCGTTGAGTGTAATGAAAAATATTACATGAATATTGATAAAAATTGTGTAAAAATGACAGAAAATCCGATTGATAACTGTATAAAAATGGGTATTTGGGGGTGTTTGATTTGTGAACCGGGATATTATATTGATGGCAATAAATGTGTTAAATGTGATGAAATATGCACTTCTTGTGTATCAAAATCATCTTTGTGTCTTTCTTGTCAAAGTGGATTTTATTTGGGAGTGAACAACACTTGTATTTCCAATGATTTATTAAAGGATAAATGCAAAAAAATATCAACAATCACAAGTGGGTGTTATGAATGCAAAGATACATATTTTCGAGTAGGTCTTGATTGTGTTCGCTGTTTAACTAACTGTACAACTTGTAATACGGCCTCAATGTGTTTAACTTGTAATGAAACGAATTTCAAAACGGTAGGTGGAGACTGTTTACCACAAAATATAATTGTTGGTTGTCAAGTTGAAGTCACCCAAAATGGGTGTAACAAGTGTTTAAGTGGGTATTATTCAGTAAACTTTAATGAATGTAAAAAATGTGACGATAATTGCAAAACGTGTTATTTAGTTGGTAATAAATGTACCTCGTGTAACGAGAATAATATTTTAGATGAAAACAACAAATGTGTTTCATTGAGTAAAGTCCCCAATTGTAACCAAATTAAAAATTCAAAATGTTCGAAATGTACTTTTTGGCACACTCCAAGTGTTAATGGGACTTCTTGTGTATCAAAAGCAGTGTGGTGGATTATTTTGATAATAGTCACGTTTTGTCTTTTAATGATTGTTTTGGTCACCACAACATTTGTTTTCTTGTTTAACTTAATCCAAAATAAACAACGAAAAAATGAATTGGAAAAAACTACAACTGTTTTCTCTATTGAAAAATCAAATATTCATTTTATTTCAATTGGCAATGGGATAGTTGTGAATACAACAGATATCATTTTTAATGATGGGGAAGAGGCGAATGTCAACGAAAAACTCCGTGAATTGTTATGTGTTGGGAACACCACAAAACACAACATGAAAATCCAAATTTCAAATAAAACTTCAGAAAACTCCAAATTTATATTTGAGTCCAACCCACAACTTATATTTCTCGGGAAAGGGGAAGCTTGTGAATTTGAGATATTTGTCACACTTCTTTGCACTTCAAAAATTCAAAGCGAATTTCTTCTTATTTCAAATTCTTTGGATAAAGAAAAGGAAATATATAAAGAAATTAAATTTAGTTTAACATCTAAAATAACAACAAGAATTGACCCGGACGAATTAAAAGAAGAAAAGAAACTTGGCGAAGGATCTTTTGGAATCGTTTTTAAAGGTACATTTAGAGAAAATAATGTTGCTATTAAAAAGATGAAACAACAATGTAATAATACAAATGGGATGATCGAATTTGAAAGTGAAGTGAGTATGTTGGATAAATTTCGAAGTGATTATATTGTCCACTTTTATGGAGCTGTGTTCATACCAAACAAAATCTGTCTTGTTACCGAATTTGCACTTTTGGGAAGTTTACAAGACTTGATAAAACACAAACAATCAAATGAAATAGAAATGAAATTGAAAATTAAAATAATGTTAGACGCTTCTAAAGGAATTCAATATTTACATGAAAACGGGATATTACACAGAGATATTAAACCAGACAATATTTTGGTAATATCAACTGACTTGAATGAAAAAGTGAATTCGAAATTGACTGATTTTGGAAGTGCTAGAAATGTGAACATGTTGATGACTAATATGACTTTCACAAGAGGTATTGGAACACCAAAATATATGGCGCCTGAAATATTGAATCGAGAAAAATACACAAAAAGTGCAGATATTTATTCATTGGCTATAACAATATTGGAATGTTTCACTTGGGAAGATCCTTTTCCAAAAACAATTTTCTGTTATGCTTGGTCTGTTGCAGATCATATATCGACTGGAAAACGACCCGAATCAATTTCCATGTTAAATAAAACGTATCGAAATGTGATTGAAAACGCATGGAAACAACAGCCTAAAGAAAGGAGTGATATAAACACCATCATGAACGAGTTAAGTTTTATGTACTAATAGAATGATTGTCTTTTTAATGTATTTTTAGTATTTATAATTTATATAATTTTTGGAATCAAACAAAGATTTTTCAAAAACAATCATTTTTTATTTTTAAAGTTGTTATAATAAATTATTTAATTTAGAATTTGAATATTTTTGATTTTAATAAAAATTAAAAAAGTTAATAATAATCAAAAATTCTAAATGTGTTAAATAGATGTTGAAATTAAAGATAATTAATATTAACATATAATTAACAAATTAAAAATATTTTTTAAATTCTAAAATTGGGTTTTTTTGATTAAAATATAAAGTTAATTCAATTTAAATAAAAGCTATAATATTCTATTTTTTTAAATTTGTTTTCAACACGTTCAAAACATAAAAAATAATTACAAAAACAAACGTGTAAACTATTTTTACTTACACCATTTATTTCAAAAAACAAAAAAATAAAACTAAAAATTTATATAAATAAACTAATGTTCTTGAAAGTGTTATTTGAGATTATTTTTGTTATTCTCCCACCATATTGTTAACTCATTCCTTTTTATTTCAACTTCTTTTTGTTTTTCCATTCGTTTGTACAAATATGTGTTTATTTGTTCTCCTATAAATTGGATAACTCTCCGCCTCCAAATGCTTTTGTCTTGTAATTGAATTTCTACATTGCACCCCAATCCAAATCTATTCACTTTTTTGTGAGCAACATTGATTCCTTGTAAGTACAACAAGTCTTCCAGAAAATCAATTGAATCTCTAGACTTCTCATAATTTACAACTCTTTGTGCTGCTAATTCGCTGCGCCCCTTCTCTTTTAAATCAATAATCATCTGTTTTGCACGTTCTTTGATTAATTCTTTTAAATGTATTGAAAAAGTTTTGTTATCTTCCTCGTAGACGAGAAGCTCTTTAACAACAATGAAATTAAGTGTTTTGGTTGCTCTATGAGAAGGTTTACCGATTATAAACGATGTTGATGGAGATAATAATAGCATGAGAACACTTTGATAAGCAATGTATAAATTACGCTCTTGAACGTTCTTTATTTCTGTTGAGTTTGACATTGGAAGTTACATGTAAACTCTCTAATACCACGTTGTTGCAATTATATTAATTTGTTGTTTTTGTTTCAGATTTTTGTTGTTTTTCAACAATTAAAATAAAAGTTGCTATATTTTAATAGAATGGAATAGGTTGTTATTTTTATGGTTGATATCTATATACATAAAACTATTTCATATATTTTTTATGAATCTTATTTTTATGTTTAGTTAATTTAACAAATTTACAAATTTATTATTTTATATCAACTAAAATTTGTTTATATCTTTTTCCATTTTCGATATTATAAATATTTTAGAATTTATAATAATAACAAATGAAAAATTTGTGTTTTATTAACATTAAATTGAAGTTTTATTACCCCTTTTTTATTTTAATTGATCAATTTTTAACTAATTAATAAATTATAATATATAATACACGTATATTATAATTTTATGAATCAAGTAACAACAAATAATAATATCAAAAACAATAATAAATTCAATTATTTGATATTTGTTGTTATTAAAGAGAAAGAATGGACATGGGGACGAAGGACGGGAATATAGGCCGAAGGACGTCCTTTGTGGTTTAGGGACGTCCTCCCGCTATAAAGGACGTCCTCCCTGTGTATATAGTGTCCTTTCTATTATTTTCGTGTCCGCGGCATTTTTAATAACTATATAATGAGTTATAATATTACTATGAATTTACTATTATAAAATATAATTATTTCCAAAAATAAATAAATTCAAAGACAAATGTTAAACAACAAGTAATTTCGTTATAAATTAATGGTTTTTATAAAATATGCAAATTT